TCAAAGTATCATAAATATTATCAGTATTGTTAATATGATCATCATTATGAATATACTTTTTATCTTATAGTAACATATTATTAAACAGTACCAGGAGAATAATTATGATTGTTGAGTAGCAGTAACCATCAATACGAAATGACGGTGATAGGTCCTGATAAAAAATTATGGTAATATCATATTACGAAGCAGAATAGGGAATAGGTGATGATACCAACAATAACAGCAACAGATATATATGAATAGACACAAGATTCAAGAATAATTCAGAATTTATTCTATGATTAGCTATACGATTTAACCTTATACTTACAGGTGACGGCAATACCAAGGAGTTAGAGTGGTATGTATATACAGAGTGATAACCGTATATAGTATCTTTTTACTCAAATCTTCGGCTACTTGTATACCCTGCATCTTTAAGAGTTGCACAAACTTGCAAATGAGTCTAAGCATAAGCCAGGTGCTAAAAAGGTGGCAATTAGCTTGAATTTGCCTATCGCCCGGGTTAGTTGTGATAATGCATTGTGAAGCAGATCTTGAGTGATATGATTGGAATGTCATTGTATAAAGTTTGACCAAAAAAACACCATATACTAAGTATAAAAAATTAGCAAATGAGGAGGAATGGGATTTAAGTGTACCCATGTTATGCCAAGATCATACCACGTTGGAAAGCACCGTTCTCGTCCGATCAGCGAGTTAAAGCAACGTATGTCTGGGTCAGTACTTGGATGGGTGGACCGCCTGGGGAACCCCGATGCTGTGGAATTTTATTATTATATACTAATGTTTTGCCCTGTTTTTACAACAATTTATAAGTAGCTATTCATATCATTTGTATGAAAGAAATCAATTGAGCTTGTACTTTAAAATCACTAGGAAACTAGAGAAGAAATCATCGTCGTTGGAAAGTGAGAAAAATAGACAGAAAACGAATAGGATAAATCGTAGTGGGTACTAAGTAAATTGCAATTTGATTCCAAACAATTTATAACTCTGGCGCTAACAGATTTTGCGGTCGTTTTGAAAGAAAAAAAAATTGAACCTGTAGAATCATATTATGTTACAAACAAGGAGTTAGTAATGATACCTCTCAACAAAGAACAATGATAAAATTGATGCCATGAAGATATTCATCTACAAACACACTCCCGATGAAGTTTTCTTAGATATTTGTCATCAGTTTTAAAGTTTTGGTACTGTTCCATTCGTGTAGACTTCAGTGGCAAAACAAAAAAAAAAAAAAAGTAAAAAAAGACAGGTCGTCTGTGTATGATCTACCATGAATATACAGATGTTAATTCAGTCGCTAAACCGATACTAAGTATTCGGATGGTGACGCCTAGGAACACCAGCGCTACTTTTTCAGAGGTAGTAGTGTAGAAATCAATAAATTATATAGAAGGTTACACAAAACACATTCACAAGCATACACACAACGTTTGGTCCAGCTTCCCAGCGCCAGATAAAGCAGATGTTGAAAGTTTCATGAAAAATATCCAAAGAAAAAAAACTGTCACTATAGAAAACGAAAGACAAGTGCCGGGAGAGAAAGATGCAAAACAAGCCCACGAACCTTGTTGCGTTAATACTCTACTAGCCTTTGATATCCGCAATTGGTTTTGCTATAATTATCATGATCATGGTTATCTTAATACTGTCATCATGCTAAGATGGCATGATCACAAGTATTATGTTTGTCTTACCATGAGTGCTATCATGTAGTTCAGTAAGTGATTTGCTAATTTCATTTAAGTGGTAGCATTGCAATCATAATAATCATTTCAATACTACATTGATTTTTTGTTCAAAGGATCATAAACGTTATCAGTACGTTAATATGAGCATCATTATGATCTTACTTTATTTATGTAACATTATTATTAACATTACCAGGAGAATAATTATGATGTTGATCGCAGTAACCATCACATACGAAAATGACGGTGATAGTCATGATAAAAATACTGGTAAATAATCATTATACGAAATGCAAGAATTAGGAATAGTGTGATGATACCAACAATAACAGCAAACAGAATATATATGAATAGACACAAGATTCAAGAATAATCAGAATTTCTTCTTATGATTAGCTATACGATTTAACACTTTATACTTACAGTGACGGCAATATCCAAGAGGTAGGGTTGTATGTATATACAGATTTATAACCGTATATAGTATCTTTTTACTCAATATCTTCTGCATTACTTGTATACCCTGCATTCTTTACAGAGTTGCACAACTCGAAAATGAGTATAAAGCATAAGCCAGGTGCTTAAAATGGTGGCAATTGAGCTTGAATTGCCTATACGCCCGGTAGTTGTGACTAATGCATTGTGAAGCGGATCTGAGTGATATGATTGGAATGTCATTGTAATAAAGTTTGATGCAAAAACACCATATTACTAAGTATAAAAAATTAGCAATGACAGAAATGTGGATCAAGTTACCTCATTTTATGCCAACGATCATACCACGTTGAAAGCACCGCTTCTCGTCCGATCAGCGAAGTTAAGCAACGTAGGGTCTGGTCAGTACTTGGATGGGTGACCGCCTGGGAACACCAGATGCTGTTGGCATTTTATTCTATATACTAATGTTTTGCCTTTTTACACAATTTATAGCAGCTCTTCCTATATTTGTATAAAGAAATCAATTGAACTTATACTTCAATCACTAGGAAATAGAGTAAAATCCATCGTCGTTGGAAAGAGTGAGAAAAATAGACAGAAAACGAATAGGATAAATCGTAGGGGTACTAAAGTAAATGCAATTTGATTCCAAACAATTTACTAAATTTCTGGTGCTAAACAGATTTTGCGGTAGTTTTTGAAAGAAAAAAATAATTGAACCTGTAGAATCATATTAGTAATGATACCTTTAAAAGAACAATAATGAAATGATTGGAATAAAGATATCAATCTAACAAAACGTGAAACGTGAAGTGAAAAGGCCTTCGGCATATTCAGGTGTTTTCCTGTATTTCCCTTCGTTGTTAAAACACAGTTGCTGCGCTTAACTCTATGTATTGAGGAGGATCTACCTGGCATATCAACAGGTTATGGGCCCAGATTTAAGCAATTTGATTGTAATGCGGGTATTTATGACGTATGGGGAGAACATTTTCATAGTGCTTTGTATGTTGTGAAGCTACATCTCGCATTCGATAAGTATGCTTTAGATGGTTATAATCTGGAGGATGCCAAAAGGACAATCTACAGTTGTTTGACAGGTTATGTTGACAGAATGTCACTTAGCATGATAAAACCTAAAAGCAAGAGGAGAAAGCTTTGGCAGTGCTACAGTGAGAGAGATACCACACTGTTAGTGTTATTACAAGGTCCTCCCCCCTACTTGAATCTGAAATTCAAGCTTTCCAGGATATTTCCAGGTCCAAAACTCTTCTTGAAAGATGTATTTTAAACAAAATATGACGCCAAGTTTTTGAGAAGTACAAAATGAAAGATGAAAATGGATGGCGCTTTTAAGTAAATTTCTCTTAACCATTTTTCATATACGTTATTCTTATTTTCAAACAATACTCAGCAATAAACACTCATTAGTACTTGTCTTCAACTAAACTATTGAAATAGAGTACAACTAGAGCAGCAGCGAATACAATGGTCCACGGAGTGTGTGACAAAGCAAACTAATCAAACCTTCGGAACCTAGGGTAGTAACATAAAAACGATTCTTTTTTATTTTGTATCATGACACATACGTTTTATAGAAAAAATAAAGTGTCACCCGATGTAATTTTCCACTTTTCCAGGATTTTCTTTTGAAAATTCAAGATTTCCGGACCTTGAAAATGTGACGGAAGGACCCTTTATTACTATTGCAGTGATAATTTACCATCTCAAGTCTTACCCCTCATTTACTCATGTAAATATGTGATTTTGATAGCAGCAATAATGTAAAGGTCTAAATGAATGAGAACTCGGGTCAATGTCCATTATAGTAAAGAAAAGTAATGTATAATTAGATTAGTGGAACATTACAAGAAATTTCGTCCTTAGCACAGAATATTAACGGGACTATAAGAAATAAATTTTATTTCCGCATGTTTTAGCAGAAAAACAATGTTACTCCATAATATCTTTGCAAAATGTTTAAGTTGAACTGCATTAGACGATCTACGACAACGAGGAAGCAAATCTTTAAGCGTCATCAGCTGTTTAGAGGGCTACTGTCAAACATCGACGGTGCTTATAAAGTAAAACAATTAGTTGATATACTCTTCGGAGAATTGGACGGATTGTCAATGTAATTTCTATGAAAGCATTGTAGAGTATATTTCTCTTGACGTTCTGTGGGCAAGGTTTTTAAGTTCTTATTTACATTTCTTGTAAAGATGCGTCAATATAAGTTTCTAACGTGCACTTTATATGTACTGTAGATGATGATGAATGATGAAGTCATGGTGTTGTACAGAGTAGAAAATATTTGTCATTTGAACATGATAGTAATTGTATAAATATAGACTATGATATGACATTATTACAATTGATTCATACGCAATTTGATTAAAGTAGAGCTAATCCAGGAAAACCCGCTTTTTTCTCCCCCTCCCTTCCCACTGCCTTACGCTTTTCCTCGACAGCCCAGCTCAAGTCTTCCCCTCTCCCTCCTCATTACCCCTACTCTTCGGGGCCTCACGGTACTTGCGACCCATGACAAAGGTGTAGTAAAACAACAGGAAATCCGTTTCATTATTTTTAGCAGAAATCATGCGGGCTCGACCATATAATGGAATCCGAAAAAGTTTATCCTCGTGGGATTGAGGCGTTGAAAGTATGGTACTAACTGGCCGATTCCCGACAGTGTGTAGGAAAGCCCCGTAATTATTTTTTTCGTAAAGCGACACTGACCTCCTATTTACAGAGTCGAGGTGGACTTTAGAATTTCCGATGCAAATTCGATAATTTACTCTCAGTACACATACCACCCTTAGAATGATATCCTCCCCGGACGGGCCCACCCCCCCGCCCAGCAGACACACCAATCCCGGAGGTACGCAATCCCGGGACGACTCCCGGCAAAGGTGGAGCCGCCCCTTAGCACTTCGCCATTCCAAAAATAAGTTTAATATCGTAGATCCCACATGGGATTGTATCGATATTAAAGCTGATAAGAACAGATACTACACTTTGATTCTTAGCCAAAAGGCGAGAAAGCGATCACTGAAAAAATGGTTTTGAAAGTGTGTCGGTAAACATTTTTGAGGACTTGCTAGTGAAGTTCTTTATAGATAGAACGGGCGTAACATGACATGACGTTGGAAATTTTGATTGTCAGAGCCGACCATGTTTCCTGTATGAAAAATTCGAGAGAAACAAACAAAAAAAACTGTTGCTGGATTTCAACGTTGGATAACTTCATGGACTCCAAAGAAAGTACATGCGGGGAAAACAAACAAACTTGCCCACAAACTGTATTAGATATGCCCACACTAATAGCGCACTCTCACTATGCCACGGCCGCACAACGCCCCCGCACGCAATTATAGACAAGCACATATATATATATATATTTTATAAATGTGGTGTTATATACAGACTGTTTGTATATATATAATATCATGTATTGGTGTGATAAGTAATTTGACATAGTAAAGACCACAGAATGTTAACGGTAAGTAATACACACAAAAATCATTGTACGTTTTTTTGAAAAAAAATTCTCCAGATCTGCCTTAAATAGTTTTACTTAATGGACAATACTTCACCAATTGTGATATGATCCTAGTGGAAAGAGGAAAAGCAATTAGTACTTAAGTGTGAATGGTTTATACCTAAAATGTGCATTAAAATCATCTGCATAGTATATTATGCGAACACGTATATCCATCTTAATATTACATTTATGCGCAACATATATTTCCCATCTGTATGGGAATTTGATGCGGAATGGGATTCGATGGATTATAGGTGTATGTGTGCGAACATATGTATACTTACGAAACATTACCCCCAAAAAATTCTGTCACAGAGCTGCTCTCCCCGTCGTTATCGCCTGTATACTTGCACTGCCGCCCCGCCCGTCCTTCCCCTCCTCCTCTCTTCCGGGTCCTTTCCCCTTTGTGTCTCCCCCTGTTTTGTCCCTATCTTTTTCCGTTGTTCGACTCCCTCCGCCGCTTCTCTGGGCCCCCTGGACGGAACTCTCGCACGGGCAGTGCGCTGGAAGAGGGAAAATGGGTGATAAGGGGGGGGCTGATGCTCCGGGGGCCTCTTGGTCACAGTAATGCGCGGGGCGAGGCGTTGGGCGCGAAGTAAGACGGCGCGTGGGGAATTAGAGAGAGAAAGCATACTTACCTGTGTCACAGGACCGATACCGTGATCACGAAGCCGGTTTCTACACACGGCGAGGACTCACCATTGCACTCCGGTGGCAGAAACCTACAAAGAAAATAAAAAAAAAAAAGAAAAGGGAAAAAAAAACAACAACCATATGTACACAAAAAAAACAGCTGGGACCCCCTGCATTAACCCAATGTGGGTGAACTCGAGAGTGTTGGCAAATTTTGTTAAGCGGGGGGACTGCGTTCGCGCTTATCCCCCTTACAATATTAATTTTACAAAAATTGTTCGATATACACCTATCCACCGAGGACAGCTCTTAATTACTTGTTTTTTCGTTAGGTTAGTTTTGTCAACAGCAGCTCACAGGGAAAGAAGAGCTGGCCCTCCAATGACAAGACCGATTATAATTATTCCGAAATCACAGAAATTATTTGTACAGATCACTCGTTTTTGAGGGATTGTTGATTTGTATCGTAAACGTTTAAAAGTATCGAAAATGAGAAGGATATTAACGATCAGTAAGAATGGGTACATAATTTTTTCGGGAAGAGGAGACCGGGAAGCCAGGGGGGATAAAATAAAGCATTTGATAGCATTCATTTAATAGGCACGGATTATTGGGCAATAGATTTTTAAATTACGGTTGATATGTGTTGTATGCGGTGAAATCGGTTTTTCTTTGATGAGAAATAATGAACAGTTGAGCTAAAATGTAATTCTGTGTATACAAGAATAGAAATGCAACAATCAGATATTTTTTTTCTGTGCATCGGATACCACCCCATCCTTCTCAACTATACAAACGTTCGTGAGAACGGATCGCGGTGGCGCCAGGGACTCATTGGTCAGCGAAATGAGGTGAAGGAAAGAGAGAAGCAAAGAAAGACGTGTGATATGAAAATCAATGATTAATCATAAATTATAGACTAGTGTATATCAATTCTAAGCTCATGAAGGGAGTTTATTAGAACCTAGGAACGTGGCTATAGAGAAATTGAGTAAGACTCATTGAGTTGTCCGCTCCACGAAGTAATTTAGTAAAAGGCCAAAAGATTTATCCGTTTTGAAGGGAAACCATAGTGTAACAAATGGAAACCTAGAAGCCGATAAAATGGATTAGGGCATATATGAAAATATAGGTATAAAATGCAAGAAATTTATATTGAAAGAAATCTTGCTATTTTTTTTTAATAATCAAGATCAACGGGTGTAATAGGAATTGAATACTCATGATTAAGACTAAATGTGTATATATATACCTTGGTATATTTATATTTATTGTATATGTAAGGCTGAGGAATCCGTCTCCCTGCAACATTGCAAGCACTTGATACCGAAACGATATACATACCTAATAGTCTGCTCCGAGACACCGACGTGTTTCTTTTCTCCTCCCAATGAACTGTTACAGTGACATACACAACTTGTCACATATTATACTTAGAAGATAATAGTTGGCTGCCATTTTCTTATCCAGATTCGATTTTATGCTGTAAATCCGTTCTTTACATACAACATACAACAACCTTCACGAATCAAAACCATATTTTGCAACCAAGTGTCTCCGCCAATAACTCAGTGTTCGCACACAAACAGTTTTTTTAGCGGGGAAGGAAAGAAAGAGAGGGAAAATGGAGGGAAGCGGGGATTAGGTGGGGTGGGGGGGGGGGGAAAGGGGAGAGAAGGGAGAGAGGTAGGAGCGATGACGTATTGGGGGGGGGGCGGGTGGGGGCGGAAAAGGGTGTAAGATAGTGGACGTGGGGGATTGGGGGGGGGGGGTGGAGACGACAAGAGGGTTGGGGGGGGGGGAGGAGTAGGGCATGTGATTTTCTCAAGGTAGGGCGTCTCTTGCCCTCTCGGGTTTTTTAATTTGTGTCTTAGTCATTCCGTTCACATTTAGATCTTCGATATATTTCAACTAATTTAGTTACGTGGTTTACTGTTTAGAGTTGTTTTTGTTCATTTTATTTTAGGTACCCTCACTTATGGGCTGGTTTCATTTCGTATTTAACTTGGTACTACTGTGGTACTGCTGGTTTTTTACGAACGAGCTGGCGAGGTATTACCGATCGCTACCCACCCACCTACACTGTCTCGCCCCACGCTATCGTTCGTTCCGTATTACCCCAGGGATTCAGATCTGCCCAGTGCTGCAACGCATGAGCACGAAAGCTTCGGCCTAATATCAAAACCTTCCACGGGCCTGCTAATTAACTTGTACGTTTTGAACTATTGTAACCTAAAAGTATTTCAACAGAACATAAGAGAGGCGGTATACCTCTACATATATATATATATTATTTTATAAAAAAAAATACATATGGATTTTATATATACATTTATATATATTACGATATACTTTACTTTTTCATGGATATATATATGTATGATACTTAATGTAATCTATATATGTTTATATATGTATGTATAGTTAAAAGATATTGTGGCAATTTTACGAGTCCTTTGTTGGCAAATATGGAAATATGGCTTCTTTCATTTGACCCTATAATATGTTACCTAGGATTTTATTTAACATTTAGAAAAGATATCTTTTCCATAGAATATCGATCACATATAAAAAAACGAGATATATATAATCGTGTTGTCACAGGGACTCAAAAACGAAGTATCCATAGTCGCAACGTCAGGCATGGTAGTAAAATATTAGTGTTAATCCTTTTTATAATATTTGAGTATATATTTAGTTGGATATTCATAATCATATCTTGGTTAATATTTTGTTATTACTAATACTCATGTACATTGTTATTTACACACATACACACACATTTATAACAGGGCCCGAAACAAAGATGAAATTTAAGGGACTTTGAGAAGTTAGTAAATCTACCTTATTCATTATAAAACTCATTTACAAGACCAAGCAAGAAACCTGTCGCTCTCGTCCGCGCAGTAATAACCTCAAAGATTTGTCAGTGAAATAGTGAACTATATTACGCCATCATATTATTAAAGTGGTGGAATAAGAAGTGTTTCGTTGTAAGTGTAATTGTTTTACTGCGGTTGCAAGTTATCAGTAATATTTTTATGGTGAAATTATTTAGTAATCTGTATTACATAAAATAAACACGCATTATACACAAATGCATCAGATATTTACATGTCAAAGGGAATTTTCTTACATTAAGGTTCACGATTATGTAATAAGGTGTTGTTATCGTTATCGCTTAACTATTTACAAAGAATCAATTTATCGGAATTGCTTTAGTCAATTTCAAGTATCAATGTATCGGTATCGCTTTTGACAATCCCATGCTAATACAAATAAAAATAATGGTGATAGTAATGGAAATACAAGTATAATGATACTGATAATACCAGTAACAAACAGCAATATTGTAACAGCAACAAGTTATATGAAAGTACTCACGATTCAGATTCAGAATAATGCAGCATTTCTCTG